CTTTGGCTTCTGGGCATCTGGGGAGAGGGGAGGTTGTGGCTGCTGACCTTAAAACCTCCTGAGCGGGGCCCGCCCAGTGGCACAGTGGTTAAGTGCACACATTCCGCTTTGGCTGACTGGGGTTTGCCCATTCGGATCCTGGGTGTGGACACGGCACCGCTTGGCAAGCCGTGCTGTGGCAGGCGTCCCACATATAAAGTAGAGGAAGATGGGCACGGATGTTAGCTCAGGGCCAGTCTTCCTCAGAAAAAAGAGGAGGATTGGCAGATGTTAGCTCAGGGCTAATCTTCCTCAGGAAAAAAAAAAAAAAGACTTTAAAAGAAAAAAACAACCTCCTGAGCAACCACATGGACTACTGAGGCATGGAGGATGCTTTTTAAGGAAGGGGTAAGGGAATTCGAGGGGCTTTTAGCCTCTGGAAAAGAAGAGACTTAAGGGAACACTCCAACAGGGTCTTTAAATCTGAGAAGTATGGAAACTGTTTCTTACCTGTCCCGTGGTCAAAATGAAGGAGGCCTTGCTTTGCTGCTGGGGGATTTAGGTCACTCGTAGGAAGAGCTGAGACGCGAGGAAGAGGCGGCTGAGAATAACTGGGTGTGGAGGTAGGGGTGCGGGCAGCAAGGGCAGAGAGCAGCATCCTCCTGATAAAGATGAGGACCGTAGCTGTCACTTCTCCTGCGCTAGGGCTGCCTGTGCTCTGCTGCTGAGCTGTAGGCCACTCTGACCTAGGATACTCTCTGACCACTGCACGATTATTTATTGAGTGCCTCCGATGCTCCAGGCACGGTGCTAGTCCCCGGGCTACAGGGATGAGCACAAACAGGTATATCTTCACAGTGCCCTGGTGGGGTTGGGTGGGTTCTCAGGCGAGTCAGAAATAAATAGGGCATGTAAGGTGTCATTACCAACTGTGATAAGGACTTTGAAGGCCAAGTTTTGGGTGCCATGAGAAAGTAAAACAGGCATATCTTACAGGCTCTGGTGTGTTACTGGAAGGTTCACCCCTTCATTTTGGGTTTTCTTATTCCCAGTCTACTGAGGAAACGGATTCAGAGAGGTTAAGTCACTTGCTCAGGACTGCATAGTGATTAATTGGGCAGAGTTGGGATTCCAATGTACCCAGGTCTGTCTGACCCCAGATACTTTTCTCTCAGCCGCCTGGCTCTGGGATCATCCTGGGCTATATGACAACTTAATAGCTGCTCATCCTGTATAATGTAATCTTCCTGGCCGCCTGTGAGATATGGGTTATGATCCCGATTATACGGAGGAGGAGAGAGAGGCCCAAGGCCACACAAGTCAGCTGGTGGCAGGCCAGGAATTTGGACCCAGGTTGGTGAACTCAAAAGCCTTGTTTTCCAGACTCTGTTCTAGTGACCCTCCCCTCCCCCAGGTGCCCTCGTTTTACGGGCAGAGCCTGCAGAGGGGAAGCCACCTGTGCAGGGACCGTCAGCGGCCGAGTGACAGAGCAGGGCTTCATGTTCAGTTCACCACGTGCCGCTTTTGCTCTGCACCCTGCGGACACAGGCGGGATGGTTAGGGGCAGACCTGGCACTGATGCTCTTCAGAGAAGCTTCCTCTCTGTGGGCCTCGAGGCTTCAGGAGGGCAGGGAGAGGAGCAGGGCTCAGGGCAGGCGACACGGAGGAAAGCAGGTGCCCAAGGGCCTCTCCCCCAAGGGTGAGACCCAGAGAGCGCATCAGGCCTGTGCTGTTGCTTCTCCATTTACAAAGGGGTCCTACCCGGAGCCCGTGAGGTGCCGGCAGCGGGCCAGCCGCCTGGGGCGGAGGCCTGTCTGGGCAGCAGGGTCTGGCAGGCTGATCTGGCGGATGGCATGCCCTGGGAGCAGGCTGACACCTCCAAACCAGCCGGGCTGGTCACCAGGGGCCCTTTTCTTTGTTTCCAGGCCCTGTGCCAGAGGCGAGGACGAGCCACTGGGCGCCCCAGGCGGCAGGCTCCCCACTGTAAAGATAATCCCCAGTGTCCGACTGGAGGTACTGGAGAGGTGGGGGTAGAAAAAGCCATTGAAGCTCAGAGGGAGATGTCCTCATGCAGGGCTGCCCAACAGAAACAGAATGCGAGCCACATGAGTAATTTAAAATTTTCTAGTGGTTAGGTTAAGAAGTGTAAAAAGAAACAGGTGAAATTAATTTTTTTTTCTTTTGAGGAAGGTTGGCCCTGAGCTAACATCCGTGCCTATCTTCCTCTGCTTTATACGTGGGCCTCCGCCACAGCGTGTCCTGATGAGCAGTGTGTAGGTCCGCCCCGGATCCGAACCCTGAACTCCCGGCCGCCAAAGAGGAGCACGTGAACTTAACCACTAGCCTCCGGCTGGCCCTTTAACAATATATTTTATTTAACCAAAGTATCTAAAATATAATTTCCTCAATAGCTAATTATTAATGAGCTATCTCACATTCAGTGTTCGCACCGGGCCTTCGAACCCTGGTGTTTCACACCGGCGTGTTCACAGGTCTGGCGCTGCCAGGCGGCCGGGGTATCAGGGCGGTGGTCCCTCCTCGCTCCCGCCCGGTCGCGCCTGCAGGCCTTCGCGACCGCTGCGGCCTCGGGCAGCATCCCGCGCTGGGGGCCGCGTCGGGCGCTGGGGGCCGCATCCCGCTCTGGGGGCCGCGTCCCGCGCTGGGGGCCGCGTCGGGCGCTGGGGGCCGCATCCCGCGCTGGGGGCAGCGTCGGGCGCTGGGGGCCGCATCCCGCGCTGGGGGCCGCATCCCTCTCTGGGGGCCACATCCCGCTCTGGGGGCCGCATCCCGCGCTGGGGGCTGCGTCGGGCGCTGGGGGGCGCGGGCCGCGGCGCAGCGGGAGGCGAGGCGCCGCCGTGGGAGCGGGGAGGCCGCGGGCCGGGCGGCGGGGCAGGGGCTCAGGCCGAGCCTGCGGCGGGCGGCGGGCGTGGGCGTGGGCGCGGCGGCGGGGCCGGAGCCCGCGGGCCGCCTCGTCCGCCTGTCAGGCTTCCTCCGGCTTTATTGCCTTTGTCCACCACCCTATTGTCTGGTTTCCTTTTGTCCCCCTTTCAGCGCTGCTGCCTTTTATTTTCCAGCCAGCCTGGTTGTTTTCATTTCTTTTGTCTGAAGTTCCTGAGAGGAAGGTTTTATTTTCAGCGGTTTGATTAATTCACAGCTTGAGCCCGGGGTGGGTTTGTTATGTAACTGCTGCCCTCAGCTTCAGGATAACGCCCCTCCCGACGCCCTGCTCCAGCCCGCGCCCCGCCCTGCGCCCGGATGGGCGGAGCCGCCGCTTCCCGGACGCTCTCCGGGCCCTGGGTGGTGGGGGGCCGCGCCGGCTGGGCGGGGCGCTCTGCTTTTCTCAGGGCAGGTGTTCTTAGGGGCAGGAATGGCCCTCTCTGCTCGCTCTGCAGTGCCCTCTCCTGGGCCCCGCGCCAGCGCCCAGGGCACCTGCCCTCGGAAAGTGGCAGGAGAGTCGAGTCTGGTCAGATCTGTAGGATGGGATCAAATCAAATCCATCTTAATCACCTATGATGCTCTCAGTTATTTACTGTGAAGTACTGTCCATGTGCCCTGTGGTAGATGGCACAGTGTTATTCATTATACGTTACGAGAAACATTTTATTCTAACATACAAATACAGCACCTGCAATTTAATTTAAGGGGATTTACTATATCTGATTTTTGCCTTACACCCCTCTCTTAAAAATTTAGTGCCCCCCCAATTTTTTAAAAATTTTATTTAACAATGCTTTTCAAACTAGTGTGTATCAGAAACACTTGGAGAGCTTGTTAAAACAGATCCTTGGCTCCACCCACAGAGATTCGGATTTGTGGGTGACTCAGGACGTTGCCCCTCAAACAAGCCCCCAGGCGGTGCTGAGGCTGCGGGTCCTCATGCCGCCTCCCAACCAGCAGTGGTGGAACCAGGCCCCACAGTGTTCTAAGCACCATGTAAAGATCAGTTCACAGCCCTCGCGACCGTGCACTTCACAGATGAGCAAACTGAGGTTTGGAAGCTTAAGTGACTTGCCCAAGGTCACTCTGTAGCCATCGAGTAGCTGAGGCAGGACCCATGCATACTTGGAACCTGCTGTGTCCCCCCATGGGCTTGTCTCAGTGACTTTGGAGGGTGAGCAGGTGAGCTGTGGGCATGTGCTGCCCTGGCCCTGAGCCTGGCACGGCCACCGAACGCTCGTGACTGCAGCTCCTCAAGGTGTCCAGGCGGTGGTGTGACAGGAGTGGCGGCAGTGATGGGAGCAGTGCATGCAGAGTCTCTGCTTATCCCAGGGATTGCAAATGCTCCCAGGGGCCAAATTCTACAGGAGAGACTCTAGCTAGATAGGAGAAAATATTTTTCTTAAAACCACTCATCTCTCAATTTATTTATTTTCCCATTTTTGGTAGATATAAAATGGATATAAGAATACATGGGTATAAGAAATCATTCACTTTTATCTTCTCTACTATAAGAAAAACGATAAATGTGTTATATAGGGTAGTTGATACTTGGTTTCCCTTTTGGGGAGTGGTAGGGAGTAGTGGAGAGCAGGAAAATTGGCCTGTCCATAAGGAGTAACTGCTACTCAGTTCCAGCCAGTGGATGCCACAGACCAACTTTAAGAGAAGTTCAAATCCAGACTTTTATGTGATATCTCTCAGTTTTAAGTTTTGGTAACTAATTACAAATATGTATTTATACAAACATACACAGACACATACGTGTAGATATAATCTTGGCTTTGTAGGGCTCAGAAACAGCCAGTTGACAATCTCTGGCCTCCTTAGGTGAACCCATCAACCCACTAGTCCCAACCCTCCAACAGGCAGGTGTGCCAAAGGTTGGGCCTAGTCTTCTCTGGACCCTCCAATTTAAGAAAAAAAAAAAAAAGGGGCAGGACGATTTTTTCTGCTTTTCACAGTGGGGTTCCAAATGGAGGCTCACATTTTGCATGAGCGTGCCTTTTGGGGCTGGGGGCATGGTGGAGTCGCTGGCTCTGGGGCTCGGGACTCGCCTCACTCACCCACCCCTCTTCCCTCAGAATGTCCATGAGGAGCCCCGGCTCTGCGCAGCTGGCCCTGGATGGCGTTGGCACCATGGTGAATTGTACTGTCAAGTCAGAGGGGAAGAAGGAGCCCTGCCAGGAGGCCCCCCAGGGCTTGGCCACTGCAGCTGAACCCCACCCTGGAGACCCAGCCCGGGCCCCCCAGGATGGTGCTGACCCCCAAGCTCCAGCCCAGGTGCCTAACACTTTCCCAGGGGCTCCTGGGTCAGTGTCCCCACCCTGCCTCTGTGCCCCACACCCATGTGCCATCCCTGGCCTGTGCGCTAGCAGGCACCCACCCCCCAGCTGGGCAGAGGGGCAGGCAGAAATGTTCATTTCTGGGACAAGACTTAGGTGACTGGGGAGGGGCTGCCAAGTTCAGTCTGGTGCTGGGAGCCAGGCCACCTGTCCACGCAGGACATGGACTCAGTCAGCTGAGAGTAACTGCTCACCCTGTGTGACTCAGTCCTTACCCCCGAGGACTAGTTGGAGAGAGAGGATGTACATGCTCAAAGTTTCGCTTAAAGGTAAATACCAGCCTTTTCATTTAATTTAAGAAAATCAGCCTTATTACCCAGGCCAGAATCAAATCTCTGTTAAAGACAGTACAGCTCCTCGTCCTTCAGTGAAGGAGGCGAGCTACCTGAGCAATAAGGATTCTTGCAGCTCTTAAAAACTCTATGATTCCATGCAAGAGATATAAAAAGGGAGTATACAATTAAAAGCCAAATGAGTGCAAATGAGAGTTTTAGGGCTCTGAGAAGGGATGCAGCCTGGAGTGTGTGGGAGGAGGTTAGGAGGTTGGGTGGTGATCAGAGAAGACTTCCTGGAGGAGGAGGGCCTCAAGCGGGGTCTTAAAGAATGGAGCAGACTCAGATGAAAAGAGGAGAGGGGATGGTGTCTTAAGGAGGGCTGAGGTGGTGGCCCTGGGAATAACCAACCGCCTGGCTGGAGCGGTGGGTGTCTGCAATGGAGTGGTAATTAATCTATGGCTGTTGGCCCCTGACTCTGTGGTGGCAGACCTCATTTATGTGCATTAACTCTTTTGATCCCAGCAACAACCCCATGACAGGGAGGAGGGAGGTGTTAGTGTGTCCATTTCCAGCAGAGGGAAGTCAGGGTCAGACACGGTCAGGGACTCACGTGAGTCCAGCACCTTGTGAGTCTCTGAGCCTGGGCTGGAATGCAGCTCTCTCGTCTTCAAACCTTTTGTTCTTTTCACTCTATCAAGCAAAGGTGGGGAGGTGGGGAGGTGGGGAGGTGGGGAGGCAGGGCCCTCCTGGGGGCCGGGCGGACTCTGAGATTCCCTCAGGGTGCACAGCTCTGGGCATTCAGCCCCCTGTAGTCTGCTCCTCTTCTCTTGGCGGTGACAGTGACATTCAGCATGTCTTATAGGACTGCAGCTCCCCGGAGAGCAATGGGTCCCCAGAACCCAAGAGGCCAGGAGGCTCTGAGGCTGCTTCTGGAAGCCAGGAGAAGCTGGACTTCAACCGAAATTTAAAAGAAGGTACAATATCTACCCTGGTGAGAGGTAGGGTCCCGGGCGGGAGGCGTGAGGATGGCTGCTCCCCATCCCTCATCCTCTTCTAGTTGTACCAGCCATCGAGAAGCTGCTCTCCAGTGACTGGAAGGAGAAGTTTCTGGGAAGGAGCTCTGTGGAAACCAAAGATGTCAAAGGTGAGGGCCCCTGGGCTGGGCGGGAGGGATGTGTGAGCCCTTCCCCTTTTCTGGCCTGGCCATGCAGTCTGGGCCTGTGGGGCAGTTGCGGGGGCTCCTGGCGCCCTATCCCTGGCCTGCACCACTCTGCCTCCTGCCTGGCCCTGGAGGTCAGCACCATCCCTCACCTGGGCCTCTGCGTTGGGTCTGGCTCACTCCCATGCAGGCAAGGCCTGGCAGGCAGGGATCAGATCCCATGAGTGTGGGTTTCGGCTCCACCTCTTACCAGGGACCCTTGTGACCTCGAGCATCCTTGACACTTGCCAGATCCACCTACAAAGTGAGCCGAACGTTCCCTCTCACTGCTGAAAGTTAATTCTAGGCACGGAGTGAATGAGAAGTGCTGGAGGCTCCTGCTTGACCTCTTCAGAGTGGTCATCTTCCCAGTGCGGCCACACCACAGAGGGGACCGTAAGACAGTGCGGATGCCCCAGCCCCACCCTGCCTGCTGAATGAGAGCCCCAGAAGATGCCCCCTCTGTACTGAACGTAGTGAAGTGATTAAGAACACATTTAATACAGATGTTTCCAACAAGCTACTTGCAAGATGCATTCAGCATGCTGTTACTTCAGGGAATGGAAATGATACTCTTTCTTTAGTGCATGGAGTGAAATGTTTAAAAACACCGCTTATAAGATGGAGGCCTGGGCAGCTGTATTTTTCAGAGGCTGCCTGAGTGATTCTAATGCGGTGGTCTGTGGCTTGGCGTGTAGGAGCACACCCCCACATCTGCCGTTGGCTGCACTGGGGGGCAGGGAAGCCGTGACGTTTGTTGGTTGAGGACTGTGTGCCAGATCTGGACTAAGAGCTTATGTGCATTCTCTCTAACCCTCACAGCAGCCCTGTGAAGTGACGATTATTGTGCTCATTTAGAGATTAAAGAGCAGATGACTTGGTAACTGGCCCACCAGCTCCCAGGCGGGGTGGGCTGAATGGGGAATTTGAACCCAGATCTGTCTTGCTCCAAAGCCTGAGCGTGTCCCGCTGGGCCCCTCCTGTGGGATGGCCCTCCACCCTGACCCTGTGGCACCGGGCACTCAAGGCGGTCCAAGAGTTGGGCCAGGGCTGAGAGGCCTCACCCCCAGCATTTCCAGGGGCTGGAATTGGCAGCTAATGGTGGGGAACTTCTAGAGCCTAATTCAGGTGAGGAGTCCCCTCCATGGCCAGGCTCATGTCCCGGTCACCTGTCGCTGAGCCCCTAACAGGGCCTGGGGCACAGCAGTTGCTCAGTACGTGTCAGAAGGATGCACAGATGAACAAACAAATGGTCAGTGGTGCTGCTTCCCTGGAGCAGGGACCCAGGAGAGCCTGGCAGAGAAGGAGCTGCAGCTTCTGGTCATGATCCACCAACTGTCCACCCTGCGGGACCAGCTCCTGACGGCCCACTCAGAGCAGAAGAACATGGCCGCCATGCTTTTTGAGAAGCAGCAGCAGCAGATGGAGCTGGCCCGGCAGCAGCAGGAGCAGGTGGGCCTGGCCCGGCGTCGCGCTCTTTCCAGGGGAAGGGCCTGTCAGGGCCCAGAGAGGAGCGCCTTGGGAGCAGGCTGAGCCTGGGGCGGGTGCGGGAGGGGCGGTGGGCAGGGGCTGTAGGATTCCCACCTCTGGCTCTTCCTAAGCCCTGTTGGGGGGACAGGGGGTAGCGGGGTGCTGAGGGGCTCCAAGTAAGAGCAGCTGGCTGCTTCCTGCCCAACCTCCATCCCTGGGCTCTGAGGGAAGGGCGAGCTGCCCTCAAAAAGAGAGTCAGTCCTGAAGGTTGGCTGTTCCGCTGCTTCCCCGCCCAGCTCCCCTGCATGGTGGCTACCGCAGAAGGCAGGGTGTGCTTGGGGCTGCGAAGGCTCTGTGGGAGTGGGGTCCTGGGGCCTAATGCCTGTGGCCCCTTTGCCAACTCTTTCCCTCTGCCAGATCGCTAAGCAGCAGCAACAGCTAATTCAGCAGCAGCATAAGATCAACCTCCTGCAGCAGCAGATCCAGGTAAAGGCGTGGGAGAGCGGGAGGTGGAGGGGTTGCCACCAGCCTGGAGAGGCGCTGGGGACAGGGAGGGACAGGGGAGTCACTCAGGCATGACCCTCAGGAGGCGGGCTCATTTCTGCTCTAGGCCCTACCCCTGTCTTCTTCCCCTGTGTCAAGGGAGGGGCCTTCCTACCCAGCCAGGGCTTGAGGGTGGGTAGACAGTGGCGTGGAGTCAGCTGGATCTTCTGAAGACTGTCCCTGCCCAGGCCCTGTACTTCTCATCTCTGCCTTCACCCTCTGTGTCCAGGGCTGACCACAGCTGGGCAGCTGCTTGGGCCCCCAGGAACTCACATAGGATTTCTCTGCCCTCAGCAGATCAACATGCCTTATGTCATGATCCCGGCCTTCCCCCCGAGCCACCAACCTCTGCCTGTCAGCCCTGACTCGCAGCTGGCTTTGCCCATTCAGCCCATCCCCTGCAAACCAGGTGAGTGTGGGAGGGCCCCCGGCTGAGGCCTCCTGCGGGCAGGGCGGGGGCCCAGCGCTGCTCTCACCCAGTAATTTGCAGGTGGCCTTTCTGGGCCTCAGTTTTGGAGCTGTCCCGTGGAAGAATCATCCCTTCTCTCTGGACCTCACTGGGAGAATGAAAAGTGGTTTTCACATTGAAAACCATGAAGTGCTTTCCAGACATGAGCGGATGTAGCCAATCTAGGTCTGATCTCCCCAGCTCCGGGGCATTTCCTGTACCAGAATATTAATATCTTGAATGTTAACTGAGCATTATACATCTCCCAAATTCACACTCTTGTTCTTGGCCTGACCATGCCACTCTTGCCTTCTGCCCCGTCACTGAAATTCAGTGACCACCGACTGAGTGCCAACCCCATGTCAGACACTGTGGAGTTGTCAGGCAGCCACAGGGGTGATGAAATGTGGACTTTGAGCTCAAGGAATTTAGTGTGTGGAGGGAAAAGCAGGATACCAATGACCGAGGAGTCTGGGAAGGCTTCCTGAGGAGGTTGCATTTGACTGGGGCCTGGGGGAGTGGACTTGTGAGGGTGAAGCCAGGAGCCGGGGTGGCAGGCCGGGAGAGGGCTCCCGCCTGAGGCAGGGAGCTGCGCGGGGCGCTGGGGTGAGGGGAGCACATGACAGGGCTGTGGGCTGCGGCTGGGAGGGCGGGTGGGACTGGGTGTGGGGCTGGGGATTATTTGGTAGCATGTGGGACACCGTGACATTTGAGTGGAGGATGTGTTGTCACGCTGATGGGGCTTACAGGATGGGGGGCCAGCTGGAGGCCGGACTGGGTGGGGCTGTTGAGGTGCTTCTAGTGATGGTGACAGCTTGCGCTAGGACTGTGACGGCGGGCCGGAGGCAGATATGGGATTACTGGCCATGATCATTGATTCACTGGGCAGGGCAGAGATGCTGTCCATAATTTCCCCAGAAGGGGCAGCAGCCTTTAAGTCAACCCCCTCAGGTCCACTCTCCCTTTCCACGCACGAGAAGGCAGGGGAAATGCCCCTGGGTGAGCTCCTGTGGGTCCACCACTGAGGCCTGTGGGCTGTGGGCACAGTTCATGGGTCAGCCCCACTGACCCTAGGGTGGGAGAAGGAGAAACACAGAGGAAGTTTCCAGGTGGGGGATAGGGGATGAGGACCACACAGGACGAGACGGACAGACTGGGAATGGGGGAGGGGGGAGGGCCTGGGGGGAGGACAGGGCACCTGGACCAAACCATTGCAGCTCCAGAGCTGCAGGGGTGGGGAGGGCAGGGCCAGGGGTGGCGAGGAGGCACGTGCTTTCTGGACAGGGGAGGCAGGAGGTGTAAGCGGTGGAAGACCTGGACTGCTTCATTTGCTCCAGGATCCTAGCCAGCAGGTGGCCTGCAGGCTGCCCCTTCCCGAAGCTGAGTGAACAGCGCCTCCCCCCAGCTCACAAGCCTTAGATGGTGCTGCCTACAGCGTGGAGTCCAGACTCCTGAGCTCAGCCTACATGGGCCTTGGAGCCCACCTGGCCCCCCAGTACTCCACTACTCCATGCCCGCCTGCAGGCACTAGCTCATGTCCTGCCTCCCCCTGGAAGGCTGCTCCAGTCACCCCAGATGGAACAGAGTTCTCTGGCATGCGACCCACACAGCCCATATCACCACAGCCATGGGGTTAGTGATTTGTATCCATGGCTTCTCTCTCCACTTGCACTGTCAACTCCTCTGTGCTGCCTGTCGAGGGAGAGTGAGGTAGGCTAGGTAGAATAGAGAGAGGGCCATGTCCAGGGGAAAGGATGGGCTGTGGAGTCCAGAGGACCCGGATTAAAATTTCAGTGCTCCCATTTATGAACTATGTGCAACCCATTTAAGGTCTCCAGGTCTCAGTTTCTTTATCTGTAAAATGGGTTGATGTATTGATTGCCCATTATATGCTGCTCACTAGGGGCTATTGTGAGATAATGCACATCAGACGGGCGACACACAGGTAGCTGCTTTTGTACCCTGCACGTAGTAGGTACAAGCTATAGGCATCGGTAGAATGAGTGGGGTGCTGTTCTTACTTCACCATTGGCTGGAACTCCAGGGCCTGTGGGGGGGTGGCAGGAGCGTGCAGGGCACCGGGCGAGGGCACAGGAAGCCCTCAGCCGCGTTCCGGGCTGGGGAAGGCCGAGGCGGAAGCCGGCTGGGCCAGCTCGGAGCCTCTGTCCACTTGGTGCTGCAGGGGCCTCGTCAAGCAGGGCGTCTGCTGTTCTGTGCTCATCCAGGACTTTTCTCCTTGCCGCCTTTCCCACAGTGGAGTATCCGCTGCAGCTGCTGCACAGCCCCCCCGCCCAGGTGGTGAAGAGGCCTGGGACCATGGCCGCCCACCACCCACTGCAGGTACTGCCCACTCACTGGCCGGGGCTCCCTCCCTCGCATACAAGGGCTGGCTGCCCACTGCGGGGGCTGTGGGGCCTGTTCTTGTTCACCTGCTCCTTCTGTCTCTTCTTTCCCTCTCTGTCTCCTTGTCTGTTCTGGGTATTCTTGTCTCTCTGTCACCATATGTCCCCTCCGTCCCTCTATGGGGGTCTCTTTGGCATCTCTCACCCTCTGACCTCTGGGTCTCCCTCAGGAGCCCTCCCAGCCCCTGAACCTCACAGCCAAGCCCAAGGCCCCCGAGCTGCCCAACACCTCCAGCTCCCCGAGCCTGAAAATGAGCAACTGTGGACCCCCCAGCCATGGGGCCCCCACACGGGACCTGCAGTCCAGCCCCCCAAGTCTGCCTCTGGGTAAGCTTTCTATCTCCCGCACTTGTCCATCGGCCCTCTTCTCAGGGGGAGCCAGGGGGCATGACGGGACCTGGGACATGTCCCTTCCCTCCAGGTCACAGTCTAACAGGGGCTTAGACTTGCTGTCTTCGGCCCCTTTCAGTTTCAGCATCCAGTCTCAGGAGATCCCCGCCCTCCTCTCCCCGCTGTGTCTGTCTGGGCACCCTGGCCTGGGGTATTCAGGCCCCCGGGCCGCACAATTTCGGGGACACTATTCTCGTTTCCAGTATATTGGCGCCGCACCACAGCTGATGTCAGTGGCGCCGCCTTGGGGATGTGCAGGGTAACAGCCCTGGGAGGGCAAGAGGCAGCACCACCCCAGGAGTGCAATTGGGCATGACCCCGACCTCCCTTTCTCTTCCTCCCCCCTCTCATAGGCTTTCTTGGTGAAGGGGATGCTGTCACCAAAGCCATCCAGGATGCTCGACAGCTGCTGCACGGCCACAGCGGGGCCTTAGAGAGCTCTCCTAGCACCCCTTTCCGCAAGGTACAGGTCCCCGCTGCCCTGCACTTGGGAGCAGGGAAGACACAGTAGCCAGAGGTGGAAGGCACAGAGTCTGAGGCCACCAGAGGGAGGGGTGGGGAGGGCCGTGGGGTGACACAGGGGGGCTGATGTGCAGGTTGCCCCTGTCAACCCCAGGACCTCATCAGCCTGGACACGTCCCCAGCCAAGGAACGGCTTGAGGAGAGCTGTGTGCATCCTCTGGAGGAAGCCATGCTGGGCTGCGATGTGGACGGTGAGGGCTCTGGGTACTGGGCTGACGGGCAGGAGGGCCCACCTCTGCTTCCCCCAGGGCCAGGGTGGTCAGGTTGCATCTCTTTCCAACCCCTTCTCTCCCTTTCTGTGTGTCTCTACCCTTTCTGTCCTGGGCTCCTGGCCCCTCTGGGAGCCTCCCAGCACCCCCTAGCGGTCAAGCAGGGGATGTTTCTTTCTGCCAGCCCTGGAGGACTCTCTTTGCCACCCCTGCCCCCAGGCTCCCGCCACTTCCCAGAGTCCCGGAACAGCAGCCACATCAAGAGGCCCATGAACGCCTTTATGGTGTGGGCCAAGGATGAGCGGAGGAAGATCCTGCAGGCTTTCCCGGACATGCACAACTCCAGCATCAGCAAGATCCTGGGTGAGTGCCGGCAGGGCTCCAGCAGGACCTGCGGCAGGGGCCAGCTGGCTCTCCTCGGCCTGGCTGGGTGATGCTCACACCATGCTGAACTCCAGCGGACTCTGTTGGGGTGCGAGAGTCAGGCGGGACATGGGGCAGCTGGGTCCGGCACTGTGGCAGGCTCTTCTGCCGCCACCCATGCCCTGGAATTTAAGGAGGAAGTGTGTGCGTGGGCGCCGCATTCTTTAGCCCCCTCATCTCTCCCTAACCTGTTCCACTGTTGCCCAGACCATGGAGCTGGCTCCAGCAGGAGACAGGAGAAGAGACTGGTGTTCTTGGGCTGTCAGTAGAAAGGTTTCTTAAATTATACGTCTTGTGGCCGGCCCGGTGGCACAGCGGTTAAGTTTGCACGTTCCTCTTTTTGGTGGCCCGGGGTTCGCTGGTTCGGACCCGGGTGTGGACATGGCACCGCTTGGCAAAAGCCATGCTGTGGTAGGCGTCCCACATAGAAAGTAGAGGAAGATGGGCACGGATGTTAGCTCAGGGCCAGTCTTCCTCAGCAAAAAAGAAGACTGGCAGTAGTTAGCTCAGGGCTAATCTTCCTCAAAAAAAAAAAAAAATTATATGTCTTGATTGGAGGCTGAGGAGAGCTGTGGGACAGGGCAGCTGGGGTGGAACAGGGCAGTTGCCTCAGCACTGAGGCTCCTCCGGTGTCTATGCAGGTCCCTTGTCAACTGAGGCTCCAGTGTTTGTCCTGAGCAGGGAGCCTGTCTGCACTGTTGGGGGCCTGGGGTGGCTGCCCTTTGGTTTATGCAAATCATGCAGCCCAGAGACCTCCCAGGAGCTGCTGGGTCATTTGGGATGTGAGTGGGTGCTGTGTCTTCAGCTGGCAGTTGGATACCCATATCCGTGCCATCTCCATTCACCTGCCCAGCATCTAAGGAGCACCCACACTGGGCCAGGGCCTTGCTGGGTGCTTGCACTATACCCGCGGACCAAAATCTTCTGGGGGCCTCCAGGGGGTGGGGGGTGGTCGGCAGGGCCGAGCACTGAGCGTCTGCCCCGGGGGCTGGACCAGGCTCCCGCTGGAAGTCCATGACCAACCAGGAGAAGCAGCCCTACTACGAGGAGCAGGCACGGCTGAGCCGGCAGCACCTGGAGAAGTACCCCGACTACAAGTACAAGCCGCGGCCCAAGCGCACCTGCATCGTGGAGGGCAAGAGGCTGCGGGTGGGCGAGTACAAGGCCTTGATGCGGACCCGGCGCCAGGATGCCCGCCAGAGCTACGCGCCCCTGTGAGCAGGCCTGCCCCAGGCAGCTGAGCCTGTGTGCGCGCGTGTGTGTGTGCAGCTCTTGTGAGTGGCTGGGTGTTAGCATTTGGCTTGACTGTGTGTGTGAGTCCAGGGGTGCTTAGTGTGTGTGTGTGCACAGGTGTGTGTGGGCGTTATCTGGGGGTGGCTGGGCCTGCATGCATGACTGCAGGGGTGACTATGACCATGGTGGCTTGGGATGTAGATTCGTGACTGAGTGCCTGTGGGGGACTGGTGTGTACCTGGAGAAACGTGCCTGTGGATCGCATTTCTGGCAAATTCAATAAAAATTCACGGCACTAAACATCCAGGTACTTACCATGCAGAGGATTCCTGACTGGACCACAGCAAGCACCTGGGATGCCTTTAAACAGGAAACTCCCCGGGCATTTAAAATAGACGATTTCCACAAACTGCATTCACACACGGTCCTCCAGGAGTATCTGTGGAGCCAACCATGGCCCTGGGACTGATGTGTGGGGGCTGTAGTTGACAGTTAATTTGCTTCAGAAGGCAGAACAGGGGGCGGAGTGTGTGTGTCTGGGAGCTAAAGGAGTGTGGGTGAGAGGGCACACCCTGAGGGGCCCGGAGTGGGGCTGGGCTGGGGTCAAAGTGAGGCTGCCTCCTTAACCTGCCCCTTGTCTTCCTGCAGCCCGCAGGCTGGCCAGGTGCACGGGAGCTCCTCAGATGCCGTGTACCCTCGGGTAGCAGGCATGCCGCTGGCACAGCCCCTGGTGGAGCACTATGTGCCCCGGAGCCTGGACCCAAACATGCCTGTCATCGTCAACACCTGCAGCCTCAGGGAGGAGGGTGAGGGCGCGGAGGACAGGCACTCCGCAGCCGATGGTGAGATGTTCCGGTACAGCGAGGAGGAGGACTCGGAGGGCGAGGAGAAGAGCGACGGCGAGTTGGTGGTGCTCACAGACTGATCCCGGTGGGGGCCTGGTCCTCCTCCCTGGGGAAGACCAGCCCCAAGCTGATGGGCAGAGCTGGCCCACCTGGACTTTGTTGGTACTTGGACTTGGGCCCGCCTGGGAGATGGGCAGAGCTGTGCACCTGCAGATACTTTCCTAAGAGGCCCTGCCCAGCACACCTGTGGGCACAGCTGAGGAGCTGCTGGCTGAGGTGGGCAGGGCCTCGTGGTGGTGATGGGCTGAGCTCCTTGGTCCTTGGGGCTCATGGCCAGGGGACACTGTATGACCCTCCCCTCCTGCAGGTCTACGCACCCCGGGGTATGGCAGCTACAGACCTGTCCCCCTGGGGCCACATGCTTTGTTCCATTCTTGTCCTGGATGGACCAGCCACCGTGGGACCAGCACCCCGACACATAGCACCCCCAGATCCCTCCCCAAGCACCAGGCTCACTTTGTACTTTGTGCAAAAAGCTCTGGCTGTCCCTCACTGGCTTTATCTTCACCAAGCCTGTTGTGCCTCTGGCTGCTGTGAGCGTGTGTGTGTACACACGTGTATGTTTTCCTGTGTTCATTTCTTGCACGAGATATTTATTGAGTGCCCGCTGCGTGCAGGCACTGTTGCTGAGTTCCTGTGGGGGTGTCTCTTGATGCCACTCTTGCTTCTCTGGGGGCCTCTTTTCTGTGCTTCTCTTTGTCCCCAAATTACTACCTCTTTGTCAGTCTGGGTGTCTCAGGTTCTGTGCGTCCTTGAGTGCATTTCTGTCTGGCCTTGTCTCCCTGCGGGGCCCTGTTTCTGTCCCTCTCCCTTCCTTGGTGTCTGCCCTGCCCCTGTGACGCCTGCTCGTCACTCTGGATCTCTGTAGGCCCCTGCTCTGCCCCTGGGCCCACAGCGCCCTGACCGCCCCGCCCCCGACTCCCTCCTGACCCTGCCAGTTGGTTCCCATGGAGCCATTTTTAGTTCCAAGCAGCATGGGAATGTGCTTGCCTCCAAGGGGCTCTGTCCTGGTGCCCCAGCCCCTGGTCCCAACCAAGTGTCAGGAGAGGGGTCAGGAAGACTGATGGTTAGTGACAGAGCCTGGAGAGCAGGGTTCCCATGGCAGCTGGTCTCCGTTCCTCCCTCGTGAGCGGGGGGGAGGGCTCCCCGTTCTTGGAGGGGTCGGTGAGGGGACAGAGGCTCCACACTGCTCCTCCTGCCCCTCCCCCCCCCAATCTGCACTCTAGAGTTGTCTCAGCGCCTGAGCACCTTCACCCGTTATTTCCCTAAGAAAATCAAGCCCCACTGGCCCCTGACTCCACAGATCCACAACAGCCCTCAGGTCAGGGTGAGAAGGAACCCCAAATCCCACAGGGGCAGATGTGGCGTCTGTGTCCACCCCCTCCCCTTCCCCCCCCAGCCCAACTTCTCTTCTGGCTGTTTCTTTTTTTATGACTGTAAACATAGATAGTGCTTTATTTTGTTAATAATAAGATAATGATGAGTAACTTAACCAACACATTTCTCCTGTTTACACCTGGGGAGTTTTTTGTTTCCTGCTGGCGTAATAAAGACAGACCATTTCAGAATCTGGCCCTACTGTGGGGGGAGGGGGAGTCTGCGCCAGACCGGCAACAGGGCACCCCCCCCACCCCCCCACCCCAGGCAGCTCCAGGGAGCCTCAGGCTGGGCCTGGGGAGGAAAGGAGACCCCTGCCTCGCCCCACCTCGCGGAGGTGAGCCAGACCCCATGAGAGTGCTTACTGGGTCCTACAAAAGTCAGTGGTGGGCTCCCCCCAGAACTAGCCACATGGCCTGGGGGGGAGGTGTCACATTTCCTGTTTGACCTCATCTCAAAACGAGGAGGTTAAGCCCTATCCATGGTTTTATCCTCTTTTAGAGAAGGAGCCCTTTGAGAAGCTAATGAAAGCTATGGACCCTCATCCTGAAAAGGGCTCACATGGACACCCTGAGCCCATTTATGAGCCCCCAGGATACAGATTAATAAGCAGGGTCTCTAATGATGTGCTTCTGGGCTCTATCTGTGACCTCACGCTTTGAATGAGGATCACACTAGGAAAAATTAGACCTGAAAGGACTAGATGTCAGACTGATACGCCCAAAATGCCTAGACTTGGATTGGATTAATAGGGGCTTGTGTTCACAACAAAGGAGGTGATGGACCAGTGTACACCACACAGTCCTGGTCCCAGGTGCATCATGCCAGTCCTAGCCCCCTCAACAGAAAAGGCCATTGTCATAGTGGAGGGGCCCAGAGGCAGGCACCCTGCACAGAAGAGGACTGGAGGGAGGCTAGTGGACATGTCCTTGGAAGAATGGTCAAAGGGCTAGGGATGTTTAGTCCAGAAAAGAGGAAACTAGGGTAGGACAAAAAGGACAAGATGGCTTACTTCAAAGCTGGCAGGTGGGCAGCGTATAGCTATTCTGTGTAGCTCATGAGGTAGACCTTGGCCTTGAGGAGTCTCCAGGGTCAATATTTTTGGCTTAACATAAACAACTTTTTGACAAAGATTTTAAAAGTGGTAGTGAACTTCCCAACACAGGAAGTATCCAAGCAGAAGCTCTTAAATGCTGGAAGAGATTTCTAAATTGGAGACGGTGGTGGTGAGGGTAGGTGGGGAGAGGGTGGTTGATTCCAGGGCCACCAACTTGGGAGTGAAGACCCTCTAAGAATTAGGGTCCCAGCCTTTTGTCCAGGGAGCGTCCCGGCTGCTGGCCTTTGCTGGTTTTCCCAGCGCAGCCTCACAGAGCTTTGGGCACATCTCCTTTGCCCTCCCCACCCAGGTCTCCGCGGGGCCAAGCGGCCGCCCCCAGCCTCCCCGGCCCCTTGAGAAAGATGCCGGCTGCCTTGGGAGGGGAGCCCGGCGGCCGCAGACTGCCCTCTAGTGGTCACATAGGAGGTTGCTCATTTCAACTTCTGTCCACTCCCCCACCCTCCAGTCCCCACCACTCTGCCCCCCACTGTGTCCCAAACCAAATCGGGGCAGTGTGGTTGGGAAACTCCCAGAAAGGCTCACCCCCACCCGCTCCCGTCCTGACTTCCTCTCATTTCCCTATGCCCGGTCCTCTGGCCTCGGAGCAGCCACATGCCCTGCAGCCTCAGCATGGGAAGAGCCCTCCACAGGGACCTGTGGCAGGTGTCCTGGAGCCCCATGCCCTGCCCCAGGAGAGGCAGGGTGGCTCAAGTGGGTTGTGAGGCACAACAGTGTCCTGGTCATCACCAGGAAGGCTGGGGCATGAGCTCGCTCTCTGTCCCTGCCATGCCTCTCCTGCAGAGGCTGAGGCTCAGAGCCCAGCAGAGAAACGTCTGCCCAGGCCTGCTTTGCCCAGAGCTCCTTCTGAGGTTTAGGAAGGGAACTGGGGGCGTGGAACCAGGCCATCCTCAGGAGCCTCCAAGGCCTGGTGCTGAGCCAGGAGGGCAGGAGTGCTGGTTAGTCTGGGGTGGCAGCCAAAGGAGAGACAGTGGGACTCCAGGCTTTGTAGGGTGGGGTGCAGCTAAACCACCCTTCCCTGCCCCCATTGCCCCCCACCCACTCTCCTGGAACATTGGAGGGATGAGGATGGTTTTTCAAAGACGGCGCGGGATGGTGCCTGCAGGTTAACTCCCTCAGTGCAGGTGGTGGCCAGGGGCCTCGGGCACAGGACAATACCTGGGGGGTCCTGTTCCAGCCATTCCCTGCTCACCACTGCAACACCATCTCCAATGCTGTGACATCAAGGCCCCAGGAGTCTGGAAACGAAGCTGCCTTCACACTGGTTATTTCTGCCCTCAGCTCCAGAGGTGGATCTGAGAGGAACAAGGATGAGCACCACCATGCAATTCACAGGAAGGGCACACCATGACCACCTGACCCCACAGATGACCCCCAGGGCCCGACCTGTCCAGCCTGGCACCATCCCTCTGTCAGGCACGCCTTTCCCCCATGTCCTCCACTGTCACCCCTCCCGGGGGCCCAGCCACACTGGATCACTGTGACCTTGAAGAAGACCCCAGCTGCCAGTGCCAGCTCAGCTCCAACAGTTGCCATGGCACCTGGTACCTTTGCAGGCAGGAGCCAAACAGCCAGAGTCTGCTGGCAGGAGGCTGCTGCTGTCGCTGCCCCTATGGGCACCAGGTACCTTCTGGGGGGCCCTGGGCGCAGCTGCTGCCCAGCCACCCAGCCCTGGGAGTACAGCCATAGCAAGCTGGACTGCCAAGAGGGGAGGCCCTGCTCACCTTTGAGCTTCTGCTGTCCCCTCCCTCTGGCCTTATTGGTTCCAGAAATCACCCGTCAGGCAGAGCAGCTCCCCTCCCCCAGCAGCTGGGAGCCAGCGAGGACTGAGGAAGAAGTCGGTTCTGAGCGCTCCGCGCAGCCTCTCACTGGCTCATCACCTGGCTGGGCCAAGTGCTCGGACCCACAGCCCAGTTCCCGTTCAGCTGTGTCCTCCCAGGGTCAACTCAGTCGAACAAAAGGGTCAAAGGCTGAGGTCAAAGGGCAATTGCTGGCCCTGCCCAGGTCTCCCCCAACCAGGGCCCAGGCCTGTGAGCCAGGTGCACAGGAGCCTTGGCAGCAAGCGTGCAGCCCAAGGATACCCCAAGAAGGGGTTGGAGCAGCCCTCCACCGCTAGTGCAGGAGAAGCAACCACTCCCTCCACGTCGGAACCCCACCGTGGGCACTCGGACACAGAGTGGTCCAGACATGGCCACTTTAATGCAGAAACCACAGTAATTTACAAATGCATCACTTTATGGAGGCAGGAGGGCCTGAGGGGCTGTGAGGGCAGACAGGAGGTGGGAGCTGTCAGCACCTCCTCTACTCATCCTACCCAGGCTCCCACAGGACGGGTGGGCCCTGAGGTCCCGGGTCCCTGCCCCTTTACTCCTGCCAGTCATTCCCAAGGGACCCCTTGGGTCAACTTCAGGACAGAAGGTGGACACGGAAAGACAGATTCTTGGAAGTGAGGGCCTGGAGGGCAGGGCAGCAAACAAGGCAGGAGGCTGCTGGCTGCTGTCCAGCCACCCCACTCTCGCTATGTCCCCAGCCAAGCCACAGCAGGAGGCAGAGCCAGGCTCTGGCCCAGGACGCCACCACTCCCTTGCCTTCCCTCCCAGCAGGCAGCAGAGGGAGGGAACACAAGCTCAGAGCAGAAAGGGTCCTGGGGAACGGAGGTCCTCGGGCTGAGGTTTGGGAAGGGGCTACTGGATTGGATCTGACTTGGAGGAAGGGAACGATGTCAGATGAGGCAGCTGCTGGGGGAGCCGTCAGACCAATTGCAGACTGCCCCCCCCAAGATTGGTACATCCGTCTTTCTGTCGGAGTGGGCACCATGCTGGTCTGGGCTCAGCACCTCCCACGTGGGGTATGCGGGGGGACGGGCTGGAGGCTCAGGGCACTGGAGGTAGAAAGGAGCCCTTCCCCCCTCCCCTTCCTCAAGCCGGAAAGGTCAGAGACACATCTAAGGCAGCCCAGATTCCAGCATGGCCTGGGCTGGGAATGCTGGCCTTCCCAAGGGTGGCTGTGGTCCGGGCTGTGACTGGCTACAGGCACTTCCTCCCAAGGCTGGCAAGGTGAAGGGGGACCCCCAGAGCTGGGTCCTATGAGCTCCTCCAAACGAGAATGTGGTCTCCAGCAGCATCCACAGGGGGCTGGTGGCAGGGGCAGAGCCTTCCCCCTGGATGCCTACCTGCCCCCTCTCCCACCTTGTCCAAGGGTGTGGAGCGTGGAGCAAGGCAGAGCCCTGGACACAGGTCTGCGCAGGCAGACAGGCGGGGAGGCTGAGGAAGCTGGTCACTTTGGCATCTCCAAGGCCGACACCTGAGGCTTCACCTTGAAGTACTGGTTGAATCGGATCACTGCGTACCTGCCAGAAGACAGGGCAGGGGGTGAGAAGGGAGGCCAGGTGGGCCCTGCTGGGGGCACTCACGCCAGGAGGAAAGCTGTTCAGCTCAGCTCATCCAGGTCTGGGCAGGGCAACCCCAGCCCAGGCTGACTTTTTTTTTAACTTCAACTATAACTTTATTTTTCTTCTTAGATCAGACTGGAGCAACCCTTCCCCAAATACGTTTGCTTGCTTTCTGATTTTTACAGCTCAGTAGTATTCATATTGTGGTGCAACAGATCTCCAAGACTTTCTCATTTTCAAAACTGAAACTCTGTCCCTGTTAATCAGCAACGCTCCGCTCCCCGGCCCCAGCCCCTGGCACCCACGGTCTCTGTGAGTTTGACTGACTGCTCCAGGGACTTCACATAAGTGGACTCAGACAGTATTTGTCGTTTTGCCACTGGCTTATTTCACTTAGCACCATGTCCTCAAGATTCATCCATGTTGTTGTGTGTGACAGGATTTCCTTCCTTTTTAGGGCTGAATAATATTCCAGGGTGTGTAGACCACGTTTCATTTATCCATCATCCATGGCCATGGGCTGCTTCCACCTCTCGGCTGGTGTGAACGATACTGCTGTGAACATGGTGGTGCAAACACCTCTTCAAGGCCCTACTTTCGGTCCTTTTGGACACACATCCAGCAGCGAGAGTTGCCAGACCACACAGTCATTTGATTTGTGATTTTTGAGGAAGCACAGTATTGTTTTCCACAGCAGCTGCCCCACTGTACATTCCCACCAGTGGCGGGCCCGCCCCCTCGCCAGCACTCATTATTTTCCGTTTATCTGACAGTAGCCATTCTCATGGGTGTGAGGTGCCATCTCATGGTGCTTTGGACTTGCATTTCCTAATGGTGGTGAACACTATGAAGCCAGGGTACTGATTCCTTTTAGCTGAGGGTGGGTCAGGAGGAGAAGGGCAAGGAGACTGGGCCAGAACGGAGGACAAAGTGACTCCTGGCCCTCAGCGACATATGTATCTGGCAGGACGGGCCCTCAAGCAGTCAGTATTCAAGTATGGTCTCCGTTTAACTCCCAGTGTGTCAGCAAGGCCACTGGAGGAGGAGCTGGGTCTGACACCCACACAGTAAGCACTGAGCCCACCCGTGATCTTGGCGGGTCACTTGCATACTCCGGAACTCTGTGCCCTCTGCTATGGAGTGAGAGTTGACTCATGATCTTTCAGACTGATTTTCAACACTTTCCTCGCTGCCTAGCCCAGCGGATGGGAGCACAGCCAGCAGAGCAGGGCAGCAGGTAGGCGACCCACCAGCGGTGCGGGCAGAGTGGGAGGCCCCACTGCGTTCAGAGGGCTGCTCTGGGCCACGGCTCCCCAGGCTCCCCAGAGTGGCGGTCCCACTGGACATGGGCTGGCGGGAATGGGCGCGACTTAGCAGAGCAGAGGCATGGCCTCTGGACGCTCTATTCAGGCCGTGCTTTGCTCCTACACCCTGGGCTCCAGGCCCTTCCTTTCCTCCGCCTCCTGCTCCCAACTCACCTGAGGAAATCAAAGTCGATGGTGGAGAACTGGTCCTGGATAAGGGCCCAGAGTGCCCAGAAGAAGTGAGATGCCTGGAAAGACCAGAGAAGGTCAGCACGCAGTCCCGTCATGGACCCCACATGGCTGGACTGACACAGTCACTCTGGAAGACACACAGCTGGGACACTGGCAGAGACACAGTGGGGTCTCCCAGCACAGGCGTGGCAGACTGCAGAGGTCAAGTCACTGGACAGCGTTTGGGGGCTCCGCTCCCGCTACAACGAGGCAGCAGATGTGGTCCTACCTGTCCTGGGGCGGCCAGCAGGCGGGGCTTCAGGGCTTTCGGCTTGTGCCCAGCCTGAGCAGGACCCGAGCTCCCCCCGGCCGCTCCCCTGCCTGGGGAATCTCCTCAAGACTTCAAGGCCAAGGTATCCAGGACAAGACGGACCTCTAAGCCAGAGCTCAGGCCCAGCGGCCAGTGGCGGGGCTGGTGCCCCTCAGGAGTGCCCTGACCACATGGTCATCAGGGGTCCTGTCTGCTGGAAGACCCCTGACACTGAGTTCCTCCACGCCTTTCCCTCTTTCCTTGGGAGGCGGGTTGGGCTGGAGAATGAGTGTAGGTGTGGGAATGAGAACCCTGAGTCTGGGCACTGACAGAGCAGCTAACTGTCGTCCCCGGAGCCAGAGGTGCCCGGGCCCTTTCACCCCAGGCTCAGGAAGCCAGAGAGCGCGCTTCCTGCTGCCCTGAACAAGCTTCAGCGACACCAGGACCTTCCCAGGTGGGCCCCACCCAGTCCTGCTTGCTCTGGGCTGGCTGGAAGGACCTCCTTCCACTTTCTTCCCGTCTCAGGACTTAAGGGGACATAAATCAATTAGCAATATGAATGATGACTAATATTTAGCAAGAGAAAGGCATGGGTGGAACAGTTAAGAAGAACCTGATGGAGAGTCAGTTTTGTGCCACTGAGGAAAACAGCGGAGGCAATCCCAAACCACCAGTAAAGATTTTCTTTAGCTCTATGATGTGCTGTGAAATTCAGGGTGCTGACGTTAATAAGCCACTTAGCAATGCCCTGAGCACACACCGGTGGAGACCTGGCATGAACCATGGATGAGCAGCACTCACACCTGAGCACCGACAGCACGGTGACTGGAGCAGGAAGAGCCTGATGGGAAAGGCTACACAGACTTCTGAGTCCGCAGAGGCAGTTAAGGAGGATTAGAACTGACATTCTCTATCTCCTCCAAAGGCTAAAAACAAATATGAAGGAGTGCTTTTAACTGCAGCCTAAAAGGCTAAGGTTAGTCACCAGAAAGAACTACCTGTCCAAAGGAGAGAACTGCTAACACAGGAAGCTAGGATCCTTCTTGGAAGTAGTTCTCTAGGAAGGAGAGAACCTCGACTTGACGGGGTGGGGAAGCAGGGCATCTCAGTATTAAGGGAACGCCAGAGATGACTATGCCCGGACCTCTCCTCTAGGCTGTGGTTCAGCAGCATATGATGGGGCCCCCAGGACCTCCTATCTGACCCTGGGCTCTGCTTCCCTCTCCACCACAAGGCTGGGAGAAGCAGCAGCTGGAGGTGGGTCTTCGTCCCTCCTTCTCCTGCCCGTTTCCCCTCAAGCACTCACCAGAGCAAACTTGTTGACTTGCACGTAGAGCCTCTCCACCTCCCTGGGGGTCACCGCCCTCCCCTTCTGTGCCTGCAGGTAGTAGCGCAGCCACTGCTGCTGGGTCTCCTGCGCCGGGTACAGGCAGTAATCCACCTCACTCACACCTGGGGGGAGGCAGGGCGCACAGAGGTTGCTGGGAGACCCCCCACCTGGGGGGCTCCTGCAGCTCAGTAGGTGTTCCCTGCTCCCCTCAAAACCTCCATCTACTTTACCCCGCGGGGCTGTGCCCACGGAGACAGCCCTGGGAATGCAGCCAAACTTCTTTGACCGCCAAATTCATCTAATGTGTGGAGGGTCCAGCCCCATCCAGCTGGGGACACTGCTGTCAGTGGGCCGGAGGGAAGCAGAGACAGGCAGACAGCTGAGGGGCAAGGCACAGTCCTGGGAGTGACACGGACCCCCTAAGCCAGTACCACGGCATCCCCATGCCCTATACGAAACTAGGGCACGAGAAGGCGCTCGGCCAAAACACAGTGTCGGGGCCTCTTGGCCTTTTAGGTCTAGCAAAGGCCTAGCGCTCATCTCCAGTCAGCCAGGGACAAGCCCTTTCTGCCCTCAGGCCTAATCTCTTCCCTTTTAAAGGGAGGGAGCTGGACTCAATGGCGTGTCTCAAACGTTGCTTCCTGGACCAGTGTTGAGCTGGTTACTTACAAACATCACCTGGAGAGCTTGGTAAAAACACAGATTCCCAGGCACCCCTCCCCCGTCCAATTCTGGGGATGATTCGGAAACGCAGCCAGGCTGGGAACCCCTGGACTAGGCGGCCCCGACTCCTTCTAGTCCACCCTTCCTTGAGTCCGGAGGCTGCCAGCCCGCTACGCGCCAGCCACATCCTGGGCGCCTGGCAGAGACCTGGGCTCCACAGCCGGTAGAGAAAGCAGCAGTTTATTGAAGATGGGACCAGGACTGGGCCAGCTTCCCCACAGTCTCTTCCTAACCTATTCTTCCTTCCTGTCCTTTGCAAGCCTCCATTATGCTCCCGGGGAAACCAGTCAGTCACCTGGGGCCCCAAGAGTACGCTGGAAAAGAATTTCCTCACGCAGAGGTAGAAACTAAGGCCCAGAGAGAAGCCATCTGCTCAAGGTCACACAGCCAGTTAGAGGTCAGTTCAGGGTCGGCCTCCCGTCGCTCAGCTCCCGAGAACACAGGAGGGCCCTCTTCCTCGTTCCCAGTCTCCTCTCTTGCCCCCCTCCTCCCCCGTGCCAGGTTCTTCCTCCAATCTCCACTTGGGACAGGACGCAATCTGCCCCTTTGGAGAAATTCCAGCTGGACTTTGCTCTCTGCAGTAGGTAAGAACGACTTAAAATGCTTCAGAATTATCCCTTTTGAAAGGCCAATGGGTCTGGCAGCTGAGCACTCAGGTCCCAGTGCCCTGCTGGCGCCAGCCTCTGCTCTGCGCCACACCCCACAGCTCAGCTGCTCTGCCCAGCTGAGACCCCCATCGTCCCCTGGGGACCTAAGTGCAGCTGGTGTGGCCACCCCGGGGAGTCATCCCCTCAGGTACAATCAGCACTTCACAGACCTTGTCACCTGGGCTTCCAGAAGGGACGTGATTGGCCTGGGCTGGGCCAGACGGTGGCTCTACAGTTGGCCTGGGCCCGCCTCACCCATCCTAAGCCACAGGGGCTGGCCACCTCGTGCTGAGCACCCCCCACCGCCAGCCCAGGGACGTCCCTCCAGCCTCAGTGTCCAGCTCCATCCCTGAGTTGTCTCTTCAGTCTCATCTAATTGTTTTTTTAAGAATTAAGCCCTCAAGCTGGAACTACCTGCACTGTTTCCTTTATACAAATGATTCTATTGTACACAGGGCGCCCTTAGAGAAGAACTGCCTGCCCTGAGGAAATACTCCCTCATCCGGCCTCTGCCGCCCTGCGCCAGGCTCCCTCAGCTACCTCCTATCAGCCATAAATACCGACACGATGCTTAGTATGTGCCAGACTTGCGTGTGTAACTCATATCAATACTGTGAAGCAGGTACTAGCATTATTTCCATTGTGCAGAGGCACAGAGAAGGTAAGGAACTTGCCCAAGGTCACACAGCTAATAAGCAACAAAGCTAAGATCTGAACGTGGGGTGTCAAGTTGTAGAACCCACACTTTTAACTAGTTCCACCTAGATTATTCTCTTCAGGCCACCAGGCAAATAGTTTCTCGCAGCTCATTTTGCTCCTTATCTGTACGCAGGGCCCTTATTTACAATTGGGCAGGTTGTACTGGGCATAAAGGAGCTTGGACAAGGGGGCGAGTGGAGGCTGGGGTTGTCTGTGCAGCCCAGCTGGCGTGGGCTGTCTGCCCAGAGGAAGGGGCCTTTTTCTAACTCACATGCTAAGCCAAGTATCCTCAGGGCCCTTACAGAGGGCACAGCTTCCTAGTTTGTACCACACTGCCGTACGGGCTAGCAGGGTTCTGCTCTGCGTATGTGGGTCCTGCCTCCCCCGTGAAACTTGGAGCTCTCCCAGGCAGGCTGTGCCTTTCCCCCTCGAGCTGTGATATTTCAGAGGACAAGGGCTGTCTCACCTCCACCCTCCAAGTGTGGAACCCCTCTCCTCCTCCCCCTCAACCTGCCCCTCCATCATATGGAGGGTATCTTGGACACAGGTCAAAGAACAACATCCTTCTTACCTGCAAACTCATTGAAATGGTTGCCAATGTCAAAAGCTTGGTAGTTGTAGCCGGCATATTCATAGTCAATGAACCGTACATGACCTATGAGGTAGAGGAGAGGCAATGATGGTCGGTCCCAGGAGATCTGGAAAAAGGGCCTGGTCAAGCTTCCACAGACTTCTGGAATGCACCTACTGAACATCTGCACCAACCTGACCTAACCCAGCCTCCTCAGCGTCGATCTTCTAAGCTGTTCCCTTCCAGCTGTCCATCTGTCCCTCTGCCGTTCCATCAGCCCCACCTGCCCTCTCACACAGCTGCCCCCTCAAACAGCTGTCACCCTCACGCAGCTGCCCCCTCACGCAGCCGCCCCCTCAAATAGCTGTAACCATCACGCAGCTGCCCCCTCAAACAGCTGTAACCCTCACACAGCTGCCCCCTCACACAGCTGCCCTCTCACACAGTTGCACCCTCACACAGCTGGCCCCCTCACACAGCTGCCCCCTCACACAGCTGCCCCCTCACACAGCTGCCACCTCACGCAGCTGCCCCCTCAGCACCAGCTGCCCCCCACCCCAGCCGCCCTCTCACACAGCTGCCCCCTCACACAGCTGCCCTCT